GTCCCCTGCACCCTGCGCCCCCCCGTTCTCCAGCGGCGAGGGCTCCAGCTCACTCTCAGCTGTGGTGATGCCCTCGTCTGTGGATTCCTCCTTCCTCCTCCTCCCTCTGGGCGAGGCGCCCCCTTGTGCCTGCTCCGGGACCATGTCTTCGGGGGACGAGGACTTGGAGCCGTCTGACGCCCCTGGCTCCTTCTTGCCCCCCACCTCCCGAGGAGCTTTGGCCTTGGGCTTCTCCGGCTCCTTCTTCAAGGGGGGCTTCTTGATACTGCCAGCCTTGGCCAGGGGCTTTAGCGTTTTCCGGGCCGGAGTCTTAGCCGGAGCCTTGGCCTCAGCCCTGCTCTCCTTCGCGTCCTTCCGCAGCGTCTCGGCCTTTGCCTCCTTCTTCACCACCTTCACCTCCTTCTTGGCCTCCCCCTTGGCATCAGCGCTCTCGTCCTTCTTCAGTGTCTTCTTCTCCTCTTTCCGGGGCACAGGATCCTTCTTGGGCACCGCTTTCTCCTTGCTCAGCTTCGGCTTTGCATCTGCCTTCAGCTTCTCCATCGAAGACTCCAGCTTGGTCCGGGTATCCTTGGCTTTCTCCTCTTCCGAGCCCGCTTTCACCATCTCCCCCAGAGACTTTGGCTTCTCCTTGGTCCCTGCCTTCACCTCCTTCCTCTCCTTGGGTGCCGGCACCCCAGTGTCCACCAAGCTGAGCTTGGAAGCCGACTTGAGGCTCTCCTTGCTCTCTGCCCTCCTCTGCTTGAGCGGCTTCTCCGGCTGGGGCGCAGGCGGCCTCTTCAAGTCATTCTTGGTGACCACGGGGTGCCTGAGGAACTCCAGGTGCTTCACCTTCTCCAGTCCCTCCAGGATGCGGCCCTGGGGGGTGCAGCCGGGGAAGAGGACGCGGATGATCTTTTCGGAGGGGCTGATAGGGTGCCAGACAAGCAGGGCGCAGACAGAGGTCAGGCACTGCAGGGGCAGCTCCTGCTCCTTGGGGTAGCTGTTGCCCGACCACTGCTGCAGCAGGAACTCCAGCTCCTTGGTGCCCTTCACGGGGTTCAGGACGTACATGTCCAAGCGGCCCACTCCCATCTTCTGGAAGAGGACGATGGGCTCGGCGCGGGGTCCGCTGTCCCGTGCCAGCGGGTTGGGATGGATCCCCAGCCTCTCCAGGTAGTGCAGGGTCAGGGCGGCCTCGTCGCAGCTCTTCAGCACCCGCGAGTTGCCCTCGATGTCCTTCAGCTTCTGGGAGGCGTTGAGGAAGACGACGCCAAGCTCGGGGGAGATGAGGTTCTTGGCCCAGTCCCCGTTGCCCTGCGAGGACTGGGACGGGTCCTCCTCCAGCTCAGCCAGTTTGCGCTGCAGGAGGCTGTTGACGCCAGGCAGGCTGTCGGTGCCCGCGTGCGTCACCAGGATGGAGTCGATGCGGTCCAGGTGCCGCACCAGCTTCCAAAATGACGATTTGGGGTTGGAGCCGCCGTTGACCAGGACGTTGAAACCGTTGACGGCAAAGAACGCTGAGTCCCCTCTCCCGCCCGGGAAGATATAGCAGCAGGGCTTGGAGAGCTTGAGGAAGCCCACCATGGTGGGGGGCTCCAGGAGGTCAAAGGGGGACTGGGGCTCCAGCGACTCCGAGAGGTACTCCATGAACTCCTCCAGCCCCTCCATGGCGGGCAGGACGCAGCCTGGGTTGTAGCGCAGCTCGATGAAGTCCTGCAGGTTGTGATGGTCCAGGCCAGAGTCCCTCCACTCCCCGAAATCGGGGCAGCTGATGGTCAGCCGGGCCTTGGCTGAGGGGTCCGCGGAGCTCAGGATCTCCCCTACCTGTGAGAGGATGGCCACAGCTTCAGGCAGGATGGGGCACCAA